AAATTCAGGTTGGAGCTTCAAAGAATTTAGTCAATTTTAGATGTGAAAGAACTTATTGATGTCTTCGGTACAATATCCTTGACATTCCTAACTCTCAGCATGTTTACAGTTGAGCAAAAACATTTAGAAACAATTTTCTTTCCAACACTTAATGGCTTGACAGCACTCGATTTACAAGAATTTTTCCATTTTGCACGACATAGAATCAATACTGTTAAGATGCCAAAACGTTGATTGTTTTCTCTTTTTTATTGTAAATTCTATTTTTATTGTAAATTTTATTGTAAATTTGCCCACAAAATACAGGCAATCCACTCACAAGTATATTCTGTGAAGCGCTTTGAGACATCTGAATAATAAGGATAAGGCGCTATATCAAATGCAAGGATTATTATAATTATTTGAAGAAGCTTTTCCTGCAGTGAAATGGCCTGCCTGTGACACTACAAGCCTTTTTTTATAGAAATGAAAAACAGCTTTGATGGCAATCTCTTTGGTATAGGTAAATAACTGATCGGCAAAGGAGAGTTACATGTGACTAATGTTCTTTGGAATTTTTCTGTGGCTAACAGTACTGTACCTATATGGGGAAAGCCAATTTCGAAACAACCATACTTTTCATGGCCAAAAAGCATTAATAATTTATGAAATAGAAACGCTGCGACAGAATCCCCTTGCCCCATTACTTCAGCGCACACTAAAGATTGTGGACAGTCATCTACTTAACAATATTGTAGCTCTATAGACATAAGTTCACATCCTTTTACTTTTCATGTCAAGACAGCATTAACAATCCAAAGCATGGCAGTGAAGCCCTGTGCAGATGGCACATTGGTGAGTCAGCCAAATTTTCTTGTGGTTGATATTAAATAGTTGTTAGATCTTCTAGTCTCCTGTGGGTGCTAGTTCTATGATCTTAGATTCTTTTAATACCAAATCCATAATCTGTTTCTACAAACAGCACGGGGAAAGGTTGGGCTGTTTGGAGTATAGCAGATGGATTGGGTGTACCCTGTGGTCATTAACATTTTAACAGAGCATATGGGGGACTTCATTTTAATGTTACAAGAACTGGGAATCGTGATAGCAGATATCAATGAAGTCAACTAATATTTAGCAGCTCAGATGTGTCAGGCTCAAGATTAACACTGAAGCCAGACAACTTCAAAATTCTCCTAGACAATATAGAAATAGACGGTAAAGTGCAACATGATGTGATAATTATTATCAGTGATAATTTTCACATCACCAGTCACATTTTTCGCCTTGAAAACAACTTGCATTTATATTGCACCATTCACGCAGTGAGTGTCTTGGAGCACTTAACAATAGCGAACCTGACGCTGAACCGGGGAGAAAGGGGAGATGACCATAGGTATGGTCGAAGAGGAAGGTCTTCAACTGTGATCTGAAGACAGGCAAGTAGGTGGAAAATAAAGGGTTTGAGGCAGGGAATTCCAATTTTATGTCTCCAGCCTATCAGCCCCATAATTGGTGGTTGGGTTTTGAGCTAATCTAGCTCCGTTCTTTGAAACACCATCCCGGAATCCCTCCAACTCACTCCCTTCCTCATCTAATTCAAAGACCATCTCAAGACTTGGCTCTTTGACCTTAGCTCTTTCCCTTCCTCATTCCCCTTGGCTCCCACCTCCAGTTTGAGTACCCGGTCAGCAGTAATCAGCCCTTTGAGATTTCCTTGTGAAAGACGTGGCTTGTTTTGGTCAGCCATGTCTGACACGAGCAGAAATCCATTCCATGCTTAAGAGTATTCAAACTAAACTGAGATGTATCCCACCTATATGTGGAAATTCTAAAGATGTCTATTGGAATGGAATGCGTATCCTGCTTACCTAATCCTGGAGAGTATTAGTTGCAGATTGGCAAGAGATTGTGTGTTGGGGTGCTCCTGAAATCTAACCAGCTAAAACTGCATAACTTGCCATTGAAAGCACTGCCTGGCAAGCTTTTCCGCTGCTTATTCAGCCAGTGACTGGTCTGCCCTTCCAACAACAACAACAAATGACATTTGTATAGCACCTTTCACGTTGGGAGGACATCATATGGCGTTGGATGGTCAGAGATTTGGACCCGAGCTGGGGTTTGGGATCAGGGGTGGTAGTGGGCAGGGAGGGTGGGGGTAGGAGGGTGGCCGAAGGCATGGTCGAAGAGAAGGTCTTGAGGAGTGCCTTGAGAGAGGTAAAGGAGGGAGCAAGGCAAATAGACTGTGGAATGATGTTCCAAAGTGTGGGGGCAGAGACTGAAGGCCCGATCGCTGATAGTAGGGGGGGCAGGACGGGGGACATGGAGCAGGCAGAGCCTGCTGAGCAGACAGGTTGATAATGGGGACAGCAGGTCACAGAGTTAGAGAACACATTCCAGATAAAATTCAAGAAAAGATGCTAAAAATGAAAATTGTCCATATAAATGTAAATTGTTTTGTATTATCGCATTATTTTTAAAATTACTGCAATTAAAATTATTGAATTGGAGCGTGGAACTTTAACAGCATCACTTTTAATATGTGGTATTGGGGATCAAAAATGCAATATTCACAAACCATATTACGAGTCGCTGAACCATGATAAGGTGTTTTATCTTGTATTGAATAATAGAACCGGAGAACACGACCTGCGTTTGAAGGGAAGTAAATTCATAACAAATCTGCTGTAGCACTGCTTCAGGGAGCAAGTTGTAAACGTATGGAACAGGTTCAATATATAGTTTAGGACACGACATGTCATGCGACTGCCAGGATAGTAGAAGGCAAACTGGATGGACCTTGGTCTTCTTTCGCCTAACAAATTCTTGTATTTAAACTAGGACTTCCAGTTTGCAAGTTTGTGGTGGGATTCAGTAATTCAGTTAGAAAAGCTGACAAGCAAAATGCAATTGCTTAATACCAACCTTCTTTCAGACTTTATAGGTTTGGTATACACAATTCATTAATCTCGCAATCGGACATTTGCAAAATGTAAGCCTGGAATTTGGTTTATGCATATCGGAGTTTCAGCATCTTAGCGAGGAAAAAGATGCTCTTTGGTTACTAACAGCAATGACTTTCAAAGCAAAATGTCTTCATCTGGATTATGTGTAAATCTTGTTTGTTTGAAATGCCAAATATGTCAGATTGTTTTAATATGTGTCTGAAGTTGCGCTTGCAACTCATGTAAGAATGAAAATGGAGCCACCTTGAACTGTTAGCATGCACAGTTAATTGCTGGATTACCATATTCAGAGTCAACGGGTCTCACCCAGTGTTCATACTCAGCATTTATCAGTTTTAAGACAAAACCTTCTCCACTCTGCACCCTGTACATACTGGCTTAGATCTCCAAATTTCAAACCTAACTAAGGCGTAGATACACAATTATCAAATGTCACTAATCATAAAACAAAGAAATAAGATGGGTTTATGTACATTTCTAGGCCACTGATGAGCCGTATCCAGCTCTTTTCCAGCGTAGTTTGTTTCTTTCTCTTCTTCTATATTTACCCTTTTCCTTTTTAAAAAAAAATCCCTGCAATTTACACCAAAAGCTATCATGTGCATAACATTTTAGCAAGTTAGTTTCCTTATTGGGTCATATCTTTGAGATCTGTCAAAAACTGGGACAACATGAGACATTTCACAGGAAACCTTATTAAAAGCAGCTTGTGTAGGACTGGTGTGTGCTTGGGGCATGTTCATCGTACTGTTTGAAATCCTTTGAGAGAAGGCATAAGGTTGGTGTATAAGTCCTAAATTTTTGACAAGATTGTCGATTAATATCAGAAACTTGCCCAACAAAACTTGAATAAACTAATGTCAACATTCACAGATCTGAAAGATAGGAGGACATTTGTGTATTTGAAGAAAGGATCTGGATAGCTTGTTGAAGATATCAAATGTGTGTAAGGTCTGATAGGTCTTACAGCACTAATCCAGTCTGATATAAGTCCATTTCAATGTAACATGCTTCCCATTCACATTGGGTAGGATGTTAGATAAACATGCAACATAAACAATACTAAATAAGGTCTCAGTATGAAAATGTTTCATAATTATCCTCAACACACATAATATATTTAATTGACTGTCGAGTTTCACCTGGAGGTACACCACAGCATCTTCAAAGTCTTATGTTATGTTAAGCGTGCCACAAGTTTTCGTGAAGCCTTTCCTGTTGTGACTGTTCAAGTTATTGACTGAATGGGATTTGATGCCAAGATTTACAAAATGTGTCTTATTTTTCCTTCAGTTTATAGAAATCTTCAGCAGACGAGGAGACTGTGATGCAAAAAAGATTGTTTTCCTCTTCTGGTCAATAAAAACGAGGTACTTTATTGGTTTGACAATAGCAAGACATTACAGAGCAAGAGTGTAGAAGCAATACCCAAAATGTCTTGCAGAAAGTAGACACAGGGCAACCCTGTCATAAGGCGGCCTCATAAGATGGGTTCACTTATAAGCGGGTGTCCTGTGAACCCACATAATCAGCACAAAAATTGGCTGACTACCCAGTGCTAAAAATGGCCAACTTCCAGGCTGTCAGGCTGCTGGCATCACTTCCGGCACCCAATGATACGGAAGTTGGCTATTTTTAGTGCAGGACACTGGCACGGATCAAACAGGAAGTGACATTAGAAGTAACCTAATGTCACTTCCCAGATGGTTTCATCTTGGTTTTAGGCTTGTCATGATTAAGAGACAGTAACTCCTGTAGCTCAGTGGTCAGAGCACTCACCTCGCAAGAGAGAGACCGGAGTTCTTTTCCTGGCAGGGCTAAATGTTGGGTAAGTTACCTCACTCCACACGCCTGTTTACCTAGCAATAAGTTAGTGGATTGGCTAATCGTTTTTCCGGGGATAATAATCCTTCAAAGAAAACCAACAATAATTTGGTCACTCAATCCATGACTGTTTTTGGGATACTGCCGTGCACAATTGCTGCCGCGTTTCACCCACAAATATACATTCAATTCACATTACAGCATATTCTGTGAAGCGCTTTGAGACGTCTAGAAGATGTAAAAAGCACTATATCAAATGGAAGGATTATTATTATTTTAACCCATGGCACTTTTAGTGCCATGAAAACGTGGGGCATGAAAGATTGGACCCAGCAAGCGCATTATAACAGGGTTGCACTATAACAAAATTAAAACCACACAATTAGAAATCACGACACTGAAATGAAAGAATTAAAAACACAACTTTAAAAAAAAATCAAGCCCACTCAGAGAATATTTAAATAACATGAAACAAATAGCAATGTCTCCAATGCAAAGCCTCTTCTGCAAGAGTGTGTTTCATACCTCATTACAAAGAGTGGGTACTGTATCCCATTCTTGGTATACTTGTTTCATGGCTCCTCGTTCACTTTCACATTAAAAATAGGTTAAGTCCCCAAAGGCCAACGTGGCTAGAATTGCAGTTTTTAAGAAGGTAAATATGCCACAGTTTTCATGTACTCGTTTATTTTCTGCTCTCCTCAGTCTCATCGGGATCCTTCTCCTGTCGTTCTCTTTCCCGCCTCATTTCTCTCAACTCCTGTCTGTATTTCCGTTCAATGAAGCGCTTCTGATGAGCCATCTGGGGAAAGTTATCTGGTACAAGGCAAAAATATTTTATTAATGAACTACACCCCATGGTGCTTCAAAAAGAAAGTTACACTGGAATTTTAAAAAAGAACAAAAACGCAGCTAGATATCCAAAAGGTAAAACAAAAATTAGGGCAATCTTTTTGTGCTCAAGATTGCTTTATACTGTCGGGAGATCAATGGATGCCGTATTGACAATTTAACAAAAATTGAGCAACAGCTGGACAGTTTTTTTGGGGGAAAGACTTTTGTGACAAGGTTACATATGAAGAGATAACATATCCCTCCCACCCCGCTCCTATATTTCAAATGTATTTCAAGACTCAATTTTAAACGTTTTAATGAGTAATATACATTGCAACTGTTGAGGAATAACAGCTTGCCTTTATATTGCACAACCAATGTAAAGGGATATCTCTAAATTGCTTGGCAAACATAGTGGTCAACATTCAGCAGGGATATGAAAGGATTAAACATGGTAATTAGAGGCTCAGTCAAAGAGATACATTCTAGGAAGAATGTCAAAGGCAGGGGAGAGGTAACAAGAACAAGGGGTTTGGAAGAGACTTCTAGAAGACAGGTGGATTCATGATGGCTAAAGGCTTGACCACCAACAGGAAAATAACAACAACTTGCAGTTATACAGTGCCCTTCAAGCAGAATAGTGTCTCGGAAACAAAAGGGAACAGAGAGTGAGCGTAGACCAGAGTTGCAAGAATAACTCTGGAGAAGATTACATAGGTGAGGTGGAGGAATTGGAAGATCAGGACAAGGTTCTTAAATCAGTCCGCTGAAGTACTGGGAGTCGAAGAGGAATTTGGTGAGGTGTTCAAGGATTAATTTTGTTTGTGTAATGTGCACTGAGCATTACTCCACACTTTTCCTGTGTTAAGGTGAACCAATAAATCAGCAGCAGCAAAGGATAAACATGCAGCTGTATTTATATGCACACGGGGGATGCGGGGGTTGGGGGGGGGGCACCTATGAAAGAATTAAAGCTACGAGTGATCACAACTGCAGCACACAGGTCTGTTTTCACAGGTCTAGACTGCATTAATCGATTGCTTTCAGTCATCTTTCCACCCACATCGCCCTTGCCCCCCACTTCGTTCGGATGCAAGCCCTGGACTGTCCAACACTTTTGGATGTGATTCGGATGTGAAAGGCACTACACATATATGTGTAAATTTGTATTGTACATCAAGATTCATACATCTTCAGGTAAAAAAAAACTTCTCTTTTTTAAATTAATTAGAAAAGCATTACAAAATCAGACATAGCCTTCTGTGCTGGTTCAGTGTGAGCAGTATAAAACATCAATACTGTAACATATTATTAAAACGCTTTCATTCATCAAAATAAAAAAGAACAAGAACACTTCCAGCTTTCTGAAGCCTAATCCTATAACTTACATATTTTAGTCACTTCAAAGTTTCAACCAAATGAATTAATTTTGGTTTGTCCATACATCTTCAGAATTACTGAGAGTGGCGCACACATGTGCAATAGAAGGTTTTTTATCATGTTATCTCACAGCTGGAGAGATGAAACCTAATTAAAATGCCACAGTGTCTGTATGTATTGCTCAAGGTGAAGAATGAATAGGATTAAAGCAGAATAATAGATCACATTTCAGTTTCGAGATGTTTACCAATCTCTGAAAGTGATACCACAACAGCAGCCACCTGCTGTTCTCTCGAGTATTGCTCTCAAATCCCAGTGTTTTTGGAGGGCCAATTATGAATAGGTTAGACAGACCACATAGACAGACCACAGAGAGTGCCTCTCTTCAAGAAAAATCTCAAAATGAAACATTTTACAGCAGCAAAAGGCTACAATAATAATAATAATAATAATAATAATAATAATCCTTGCATTTGATATAGCGCTTTTCACGTCGGGAGGACGTCCCAAAGCGCTTCACAGAACACACTGTAAAGTGAATTGACTGTATATTTGTGGGCGAACGCGGCAGCCAATTGCGCACAGCAATGTCCCACAAACAGTCGTAGATTGAAAATGACCAATTTAATTATTGTTTTTAGTTTTGGAGGGATTATTATTAGGCGTGTGGAGTAAGGAAACTTGCCCAAGGTTTCGCCCTGCCTGGAATTGAACTCAGGTCTCTCACTTGCAAAGCGAGTGCTCTAACCACTGAGCTACAGGACTCCACAATTCCAGCAGGGAAGAGAATAATCACACTTGGAGTTAGAGACAGTGCGAGAAAAGTCACCCTCTTCTGATGACGTGGACATCCTTTACAGTGAGCATTTATAGGAATAAATAGGAATGAGCTAATGCAAACCTGTGCGTATAATTGGCCTATTAGTAATTTAGGGAAACTGACTAATGCGGAATGCTGAAATAGGAGAGGAAGGTTAACCTTTATGGAAGCAAAAGTGCTGCAGGGTTTCAATGAAACCTGCACATGACTGATGGTACAGAATTTATTCACTGGGACTGTTACTGTTGTTATGTTTTCCTTGAGTAAACAATTATTTCTTGCGGCAATAAAACTATTATTCACTTCCACTGAATAAATATGACTGTAAATCTACACAGCAAGGTGGACATTCTTGAGAAAGAAGAGGGGGAATGGAGGGAGAGAGAGAGATAAAGGAAGAGAAAGAGAGAAACAGAGAGGGGAAAGAAAGAAAACAAATATACTGCAAGAACAGTCAGAAAGGAAAAGTGAAAAAGTAGAGGATTAGAGAAAGAGATAGCGAGAACAAGTGCTTGATTTAAAGGATTAAGTAGCACCGCAAGGAAAGTGGCATTGAGGTGAAGTGATATGACTTGTATGTGGGATATAAATAGGAATATATTTTAGGGAAAATGCAAGTGATGCAAAACATGGAGCTGAAAGTTAGATTTGGTTGAATATTGCTCTACTCATTTTGCATCATCCGTCTGCTCCAAAGAACTGCCAGCATTGCCAGTGGGAAGTGTGAAATCTGCACAAGATGAAACATGCTTCACTGAAACTCTCCAGCATTTTTGCTTCCATAAAGGTTAAGCTTACTCTCCTATTACAGCATTCTGCATTAGTCAGTTTCCCTGAATTACTGATAGGCCAATTATACGAACAGGTTTGCATTAGCTCAGCAACAGAATCGCACTGAACGACTGCAAAATCAGCAGTACAATTGTAGGTGTACACTCGGGGTCCAAGATCAATCTGATTTAACAGAAGAACTAGAGACCACCTCAAGCAAGTACTAACTGTGCTGGATGTCGTTTACAAAGAAGCAGGTAGTCTGCTAGACCGCCCTTAAGTTTTATCGTTGACAAAAAGGTAGCAATCCCAACGACTCTTCATTGACACTATAAAAATGTCACCAGCATTCAGATGCTAGCTGGGGAGTATAAAGCATTGCAAAGTTGGGGGTACACCTTGGTGTTGCTGGCTCATACTGCTCTTAAGTAGGTACTGTGTAGAGATAATAAACAAGGCAAACAGGATGCTCGTCTACATTGCCAGGAAACAATTCTTTATACAAAGTGACAACAACAACAACAATAATCGTTGGGTTTGTGATAGCGCCTTTTCATATTGGGAGGACATCTCACATACTGTGATGGGAGGATGGATTCCAGAATGGTGAGATTAAATGGACTCAAAGGCCTTCATCAACCAAAATTATTTGGTAATATTATGAAACAGCGTTTTAGTTACATTAACTTTGTATTATAATAATTATACCATATTTGTATAACTCACAGATCAGCAAATTTGTCAGCAGTATAGCTGGGAACAAGTCAACGTGGGAATGTAAAGGAGCAGTGCTGAGTAGTTTATTTAATTAACATCCAATGTAATGGATTATAGAGCCACCTGAAATCCTTTTCACTGGTTGTTAATTACAGAATTAAAGGCACTTGTAATTTCTATGTACACATGCATATTTGCATATGGTTAGCACAACCTGTAAAACCTAGCACGCAAATTAGACCAAAATTGCTACGTGTCAAAATTGCTACGCTTAACAAGAGGACGTTTACATCGCATAAGCTTGCTGACAAATTGTTCAATGTAATAATTGAAAATGCAGTGAAATTTAAATTCAGTGCACATAAATGGAAAGGATTCCAGATTCTATGAGTTTATACTTTTAGTAAAATTACAAAATTGTTTTTGATGAAGAAGACCCTTCGCCCCATCTGATCTAATCTTTTCAGAATACCCACCCTCCCTTCACAGCACCACCTAGTATCAGTCCTGAAATTGCCCTTTGCAACTCTAAACCTCTGTCCTTTTGTTCTACTGTCTTGGATCATCCTAAAGTATTGTTATGGGTTTACTTTTTCAACCATATTTAAAATATTATACACCTCAGAGTTCCCTCTCTCAAGACTGAAGAGCCTTGAAAATATCCATTCGACTTGAAGTTATCCAGGGAACAAATGAGCAATGCTCATGAGGTGTACTGCATTCTGCTGATTCCAAAAAAAGAATATCGAAGGCTAACGTATCAACTTAATCCAATTTAGTGGAGTTCCAAACCAAAAAGCTCCTGTGGTGATATGCTGTTCAATGAAATAAGAATCAGGTAACAAGGCAAGATCTAGTGCAGTAGAAATGTAATGTCATTTTCAAATTACCTTCTTCATTTATATTGTAACATGGCATTGCAAAAAAACCTACCTAGCCCAGAGCAACAAATTCAGTACATATAATTCATGGAGCAGAATGACTCCCAATGACAGGAGATGTGACCCATCCTTTGTTTTAAATGTTGAGAAGAATCGATCATGTAGAAGCAATTAGATTAACCTTGGCCAAGACAACTGGAGGATGCGAGTTAAAACTAAGAAACCTCAAGTCATTCTGAGATTAGGAGGAATCCCTCTCCCCTTCAACAGAGCACAAATATTATGGAATTAGAAGCGATCAACAACTCTACAAATAAACTGGATGAATATTTCTTTACAAATAGGATTGAAGGTTATTGAGGATGTTATTATAACAACACCTATCATAATAATAATTGCTGCACTTGATATAA